ATCAAAGTGGCCACGCCTCAGCTTCCTGTGTTGCCAAAGCGGCTGATTCAAACCCCTTGTGACTTCATCACAAAAGAATCAGTGGGTGAAAATCAGCCCTTAAACACTGCCATAACTGCGATACGCTACATTTCAGCGCTTCATCCAGAGGAACTCACTGAAGATTGGCAAACAACATGTGAAACTTAGAGGGGGGCACAGAGGCTTTGTCCTGCTTTTTGCAAAAGTTTGGCATGAAGCCAAGACAAGCCTACCTGGTGCCCCATGGTAAAGGGGTTTTTGCTCGTGTGACCCAATAAACCGGTGAGCTCATTGGGTCAGTTGGCCCAGCCTAAGATTTAAGCATGCATCTTGTCAACAGCCTCCTTCGCCAACCCTGGAGGGGAGTTTGGGCTTGTGTTTCTTGAGGGCGCCCTTCCACTGTTTTTTTCCCCCCTTGGGAGATCGACAGGAAAACCACCGTGTTTGAGGGCTCCCCCTATAATGATATATACTTATCTGGGTGTTGAATTTGGGGCCTGGAAAAAATCCAATACCCTCTCGTTTCCTGTTGGGAGATAGCAACTTATGAGCTATTTAGCTGGGTTGCGCTTGCAATGTCTCCACAAGGCCACAGATAGCTGGCATGGGTGTGCTTTTTTGTTGGGTTCAAAGGCAGGCCTGAGGGCCTGAGGCTTCCTCCAACAAACGACACACCAACAAATAGGGCCCGTCACCCCATAAAAAAGAAGCCACGTTTCTCCAGGCATCCCGGCCTCGCGCTCCAGGCCAGCGCGGCTCTGGACGCAAGCAGAGCCAAAGCGCACATCCAGCTTGGGCTTCATGACCAAAACCTGGCTGCGGCTTGCGGCAGAAAATGCACAGAAGACCTGGGCCAACCCCTGGGGCACTCTAACAAAGTGATCTTGTGATTCTGTGCCAAGTATTTAATGAAGCGTAAAAACAACAACAAGGTGCAACTGCAAAAGTGAAGGAAGCCGCTTTCAACTTTTTTTTGTGACTAGGTGCGCTAACTTCCTGAGGCTCAGGGACCCTACCCTCCCGCAAAGATCGCCCCAACCGCTGCCAGATTTCGCCCTAGCTCAAAGCCAAATACCCACACAGGTAAAGGCTGGGCTTCCGAGGTAAGCGCCTAGTCAAGGACGTTGTCAGGCGAGTTGTTTGGAGAGTGGGCACGGGAACATACTACCCGAGGGGTACTGCATACACTGCGCTAATGCCCTTACAAGTATGTTGAATACATATATTTATATATATATACATATGTATACACGCATAATCTACCCCCAAGCATCTGCAGCAACCCATCAGAAAGCACGCTTGACCTATCAAAATGAAGCTAGACGTTGGAAACTCATGATCGAATCCGGGGGATGTAAGCGTATGTTGAGCAGTAAAACCACACCCCCGGAGCCAGTGAGCATGTGAGGCCTTGGATGTGGGTGTGGGCGTGTGTGCGTGTGTGTATGTGATTTGCGTGCGAGCGCGTGTGCGTGCGCGCGTGCGTGCGTGTGTGCGAGTGTGTCGCTTGGACCCCCAGCATTTATGCAAGAGTCTTGTTCAGAAAGGTTGCTTCAATACAAGGAAGGGTGGATGCCCTAAACACAGCAAGTATAAGGGAACAGCAACGAGAAAACCCTCTGGTTCACCGCTGGTATGGTTGGTTTACTTTAGGGCACCCACCAGATCACTCGGACCCACACGGTGCCTGGTGTGTAAGCCCAAGCGATGGAAAGTTCGGGGGGTACACCCGTGTCCTCGAAAAACTACGCATATATCTTGACCCACCCTTCCCCATCCGGCCCACCTTCTTTGACTGCCTTGGAGATCGATGGGAAGGCTGACACGGGAGAAAGCAAACCGCAAAGGAGAAAGATCAGGCGGAACCTGATCTCCTCAAATTCACCGGGATGTTCAACCAACTTAGGTTGTAGCCATGGTTGTTTCTCCACGGGTTGGTTTTGATAGAAACCAGCAGGAAGCCAACCATGTTTGGAAGTTCCCTATTTTGAGACATACTCAATTCTTGTTGTCCCATGCCTAACCATGGATATAACCTACGAGCAAAGCGAGCTGCCCGCAAAATGCAGGTAGTGACTGGCCCATTGAGCTCTTCCCAAACCCTCTTGGGGCAACTTTTCGGGCCGTCGCTAAATACATTCCGGTCCAATCCAACCAGACGTTTAGTCAGGTTGCAAACTGAACTTGCCCACTTCAAGCCCAGCAGTGGCTGCTGTCCAATAAGCATGCAACAACTAGTGCTGAATCACACCATCTTCCAGGAGATCATCGATCATGTCAAGGCTTTACGCATTTTAAACTTGCACATCCAACCCCTCTAGATGTAGCTCACCCTCAAACATCACACTGAGAGGCGTCGCGTGAGCGCCTCACGGTGACGCAACCTGGCGCCCGCCGAAAGGCGGCGGCTCATGGACTGGGCCGAGTGGCCAGCTGACGGAGAACCCGCCCCATGAAAGCAGCTAGAACCACCCAAGTGGTCATGAACCTGTCAACCCAGTCACCCAAAGAGGCTGCAAAGGGTTAGAAGGCTTGGTTTGCCTTCTAAATTTCCCCTGCATTTCCTATGGGGAAAGTCACCTTAAGCTTGCCCAAAAGGTGATACTTGAGGGGGTCTTTGGGGGTTTGCGGGTGCGTGGGGGTTTCGCTTCATTCCTGTGGTGCAAGGCAGGGCACATCTCGTAGGAGTGTGCGATGGCTAGCAAGTTCATGGTCTTCGAAGAGCTCATTGCTCCATACCGGAAGTAAAGCTTCGCCTCGGACTCTGTGCCCCAGTTGGCACTGGGGTCCCTTTTCGAGTTGACCATTTTGAGTGGGGAGCTGACCTGGGAAAATTGGAACTGAATCCTTGGAGAGCATGGCATGCATGAAAAGGAAACCCAAGTCAACTGTGTTGAGTGTCCATGAGCACCTATCCAAATGTGCAGTTGCCGCAAAATAAGAAATATTGGGGTTCTGCAATTGCGCCAAGAAAACCATAGACGAATCTGGAAATATCGACTGAACTTGAAAACACAAATATCAGCAATAGTCAGCAATACCTGCAGCTTCCTTGAAACCCCAACGGGATGGACATTCACGCCAGCCGTCGGACACTGTTGGCCAGAGGCAACTCAGGACATTTTGAGAACCCCTGAGACAAGGCTCCGTGAATCCCTGAACATCACGCCAAAGGGCACTCACAACATTTGCCCAGAAGGAGAGGCTTGGAATAAACCATCGACACAAACAAAAGCATTGACCTCCCAACAAGGGGAAAAAAGAGAGAAACAAAAAACAAAAACAAAAAACGGAAAAGAACATGGGTTGGACCGCGGCTTTTGGACATGGCAAAAAGCAGTTGCTGCCTGCAAAAAGCAGGGCGCCCTATTTCCACCCTTGAAACATCACCTGGCCAAACAGGAACACAACTCCCATTGGCAACCGAAAGGAGGTGTTTTAAGCCACCAAAAGGGGACATCAAGGGAACACTGCGTTTGTACGGAAAAGCCGGACCTTGCCAGAAGCTTCCTTTTTCTAAGAAGGGGATAGGATAGGGGGAAACAAGGATATGTTGCCCTAAACTTGTAGACCACAATGACAACCCCAAACCTGATGGATGTGCCGAAGTGCCACTTAAAATCTAGGAACCCCAAGCCTGTCGGGTGGGGAAAAAATATATGCCGGGAAAAAGGGGAACTGAGGCCCCCCGCCATTGGATCCCAGATCCCTCACCTTCCCCGGGCTTTGGGCACTGAGACAGCCTGGGTTCAGCATATCTCAATTGGGATGAAGGATGTCTTGGGATACTTTGAACATATTGGGCATAGGTATGAGGCAACGCATGGCAACGCGATTCGTTACGAGCCCCTTTGCATCAACTGAACCAAGGTAAGCCAGAAGCAGGCGGGTGGGGGCCCGGTGGGGGGTCCATGTCCTCTTTCTCTTTGTCAAATTCCAAAGGAGGCTTGCAAATCATTTGACGCATGCATTGGGCACTGCACTGTCCCATGGATGAGGGATTCTGAGCTTCCAACCACTAACATGCACTTGTGTTGTGCGTGTTTTGGAAGCTTCGCTAAACATGTTAAAAGCAATGCGACAATTTTGGTCCGCAAACTCCCCCAACCCCACCCCCCCCTCCGCCCCCAAGTAATTAAGAGTGACCTAGCTTACCAACAAACTTAAATACCCACTTTCCCCAAAAGACTGTTTGTGTTCAGGGCTGCATGTAAACAATGTTCTAACATGCTGAACCCTGACATCAAATGATTGTCCCAACGGCAGCCAGGTCAGCTTGGACCGAGCTGCTGGAAATGCCGTGAGTCTCCTTGGGCTTGTTCCTTTCCCGTAGTTACGATTGGATGAATCCAACAGACCGCAATCAGGGGTGGCTGCCCTTTCAGTAAGGAAAGAAGCCATGGTCAAACATTCATTGTGTCCCAGCTGACATGGGCATTGGGTGAGCAATATTGGTTTCCGGATGTCACCCCTGTACAGAAGATGACGGTAAACAAAAACCGTTGCTCAAACCATGAATTTCAATTCCTCCAGGTGTCGCTTCCTTTCGGGGTGCTAGTCTGGATTCAGAAATTACCCCACACCTTTGGGCTTGCCTTTGGGATACCTGAGCACATGTGGGGTATCTATCGCCCAGCTTTAGGGGAAATCGGCAATGAACCAAACAAACCATTGCATATCGCCGATTGCCTCGCGTCACGGAAAGGCCAATCTGAACTAAAATACCTCGTTCGCCTGCAAAGCCACGAGCTTCGGATTTAAGGAGGTACCCTACAATCAGAGGAACCCCCGTAACTAGACGGTGCGAGGATGTCCGTACTATGGGCTGGCACTCCGGATGAATCCGAGGTTGACATTGACCTGCTCAAAGTCATAGTGTGGAAGGACAAACCCCCTCCAAGTTGGGATGGATATTCAGCCCTACAAACTCGTGGGATCAGCCACCTGCCTGGTGGCCGTGGATTTGGTTCCACGGCAAGGGCCTAGGGTTCGAGCCTCACAGAGTTCGCAAGAGAAGAGCTCCGAGTTCGTTGGCCCATCTGCCCTTAAGCCGTACCTTAGGTCCCAGGACCCGGAAACCAAAAGTGCATCCCTTGGGGACCTGACTGGCAATGCAGCAAAGAGAGGAAGCTCAAGGATCAAAAAGGTCCAGCTGTGGGCAAGCGAGTTACAGTTTTCCCCATGTTTGTTTTTAAAACACCCCCCCAAAAAAAGCGCAAATACATCGGGGCCCTCAAAGGCAGTGTTTTCAAACCACGCGAAAGGTAATGTGTCCACCCTTAAGCCGAAGGAGCCTAGGCGCAACTCCATTTTCCGGCACTTTGAGACAGGTCAAGGCCGCAAAGCGGCCTTTCGGCACGAACGGAAATTCGACGAGGCCCGTCTTTCGGAAGCACATCGGACCAAAACATCCGGACGCCCTGAATCTTGCAGGTACGCAAAATCCACCCATTTGCGTACTTACTATAGTGTTGTGGTTGAGTATGGCTGGTTTCCGTACTTTTTGGGACAACACGCCCTTGTTGGGCTCCTCTGTTGCGGGGCAGCGCCCGCAAGAAGCGGTACTTTTACAACGGAGGCTAAGCGCGCCCCATCTGCGTGGTGAAAAGGGGTTTGTCGCCTGCTTCCGGCTCGCACCCTGAGGTATGAAAATGCGGATGGGGGTTGTTGGATTCCATGATCTCTTTGCGGAACTCGCTTGAGAAGGTGCTCAAAACAACTAACAACAGTGAATTTAGATACCCCAGGATGAACAAAGTTTCTGGGATGATGAAGCTTCTACTTTCTCTCACCTATGAATTAAGGCAATTGTCCATCCACCAATAATGGAAACTTCATTGTGGGCCCGAGGTCATTAATCAAATCCCTGCGGTGGCAATTAGATTTGCCATTGTGGTTTCTTTCTGCCCCTGGAGTGCATGCCCGAATTTGTACCTACACGTGTCCCTATACCCTGAGAAATAGTTGGTTCCCCCCCATGTTTTTGTTGGAGTCCCTGTTGGTTGGGTTTTCACGGAAGGGTGAATTTTTGGGGCTCCAAATCCTCGTTTTGAGGGTCCAAATCCATATGGTTGGGCACATCCGCGGGGGGTGCGAGAGGATGCCCGGTACAGTTTAAGAGATTGCAACCCCCACAACCACTTCTCTCCAACCAACACTGTCACCATCAACTCGCTGGAAAATCGCCCCTTACTTATATGGAGGAAGTACTCACCTGCCAATGGACCTGGAAGCTCAAGACTAGACACCTTGTTTAGGGAGACCAGAAATGCACAAAAGCCAAAAACCAACACATCGAACCACCGTTCTTGGCAAGGCCCAATATCTCCAAACTCCATCCCACTGCAAATTCCGTTGGGTCTAAAACCTGAAGGAAAGCACCTGCATCATGTGCAGATCCCTGAAAACAATCGGTTGCGGGCGGAACGCCACGGCATCTCAGCAGGGGAAGGGCTGCGCCAGGTGGCCGAACGTCGTCTTCAAATGGTTCACACCTCAGACTTGAAACTTGGGGGGAACCACTTTTGGGGAGAATAGTTGGTTTACCCGCAAAACTTAAAATAATTTCTGTGTGGTTGGAGGTGGTTGGTTCTTGCGATTTAGGTTGATTCACCGTCACCGTTCTTGAGGGGAACCACTTTTGGGTAAAGGCTTTAAATGACAAAAGCAGGAGGCAATCCACAAAAATGTGGGGATCCCCCCCAAATCTGCTCTTTTTGGCCTATTTCTGAAAAGACAGTAGCTGCTAGTGCTTAGGGCTTAGCCGCCCATCCATTAAAAACATGAACAGAACCCAAAACGACCGAACAGCTACAGAACAGGTTCTTATGAGCAGGGAGCTCAAAGAGTTCCTTGCTACCCTTTGAGCATGATGTTTGAATAAGTGTTAAGTGGTGCCCAGTAGAAAATGCCAATGGACCCTTTTCGCAATAATGTGCCTCTACCCCTGTCTTTTCAATCCAAAAAAAACGGCCTGTCAGGACTTTGCCTAAAAGCAAACTCACAAATCAAGTGTCAATCAAAGGATGTTCATCAAAGCCACTGAAAGCGGAAGCACACATGAGCCAGGTCAAAATGACTCGCTTCCCGCTTCCAGAACAGGGGGGAAAAATAAGGGGCTCGCCCCATGCTTTTGCGGAGGATTCATTGGGTGCCCCATTCTTGCTGGCAAGCACAGCACGTGGGCATTTTGTGGCTGGGATCAGGAACCGCAAAAACCACGAGCAATGGGTGCAATCTGTTCGTTGACAAGCAAGCAACCACCACCCTTTTGCCACTAGTTTGGAAGTTCCAGTCTTGGATTGGTTTGGATTGGCGATTTGGAGGCTAGGGATGGTTTCAACCCAACAAAGCAGGGTTCAAATCCAAATCCAAACTACATATCTGCAAGGGGTCCCAGACTCAGCCGAGTCGCTGAAAATCACGCGGTACATGTTGAGGCCTGAGATGCCCGGCAGTTGATTAATAAAACCTTTCACCTCGCCCCTGATTGGTAGCTTTGAGCAGCAGTTTGGAGGTATTCACCTCCACACTACCGCTCAAAGCCACCAAGCAGGGGGCTGGGAGTCAAAACGTCACACCACCAATAAAGGGGGACATCAAGCTTTCATGTGTGTCTTCTTCCGACTCGCGAAGCCATCGAGACAATATGAAGTATCGGACAGGTTTTGTATCTCACGGTTCATTCTTTACCCTGAAGGCCACCCAATGGCTTACCCCCCGTCTATGGTTGTCAAGGGCTCCCGAGTGGGGCACGATTTCCCAATCTCAACAGGGGCGATTAGATGCCCTTTGTGGGGGAGAGAAGCGATTTTCACAACACAAAACGCTAGTCCGGCACGGACGGGCCTCGTAGTCAGGGCTCCCAGGATTCCCCACCCGCTCGGAAGGACACACACACACACACCAAAAGTTGTGAGGTTAAGGATCCAACCAAGATGCAGGGCAACAGGCAACATATGTGAAGTGGCAAGACTCCTTTATGCCCACAAGAGGGAAATGCAATCTAGTTGGGAAGGCTGTGCCTTCTACAGGAATAGTGTTCCCTGTTTTTCTACTTCGCGTGTTGCGTTGAATTGCGGGCCCCCTTTTGGATGCTTACAAAAGAAGCCGACGGAAGACCACGGGGAGAACCTTGTGCCCATAATGGGGAAGCGTGCAACTTCCATACTACTTGAGGGGACCTGTTTACATTGCCCAAGGCTAATCTACACGCAGGTTTCGACAGACGCATCAGCAGTTTTGACAGTAACACCAACGTGAAAACATGTTTCGTGAGAGGCCGCCAAACGAAAATGGATTAAGAAGGTGTCACAGAACAAGCGAGACGCAAACAAATACTGCCAAGTGGCAAGCTTGCGGGACTTGCCCACTTCTTTAATACCCATGAAAGGCCTTCCAAATGACTACTTCTCCAGGTAAGGTTTCCCAGTACAGCTCGCCAAAATATTGCATTGTACTTTAAAGGGCCTCCCTTACTAATATTGAGGGCATCCGCTGTAGCACAGTGGGAATCAGCCTCCACTTTTCCCGGGCGCCCGGCCGCCATCGCCGTACCCAGCCCGCGACTCTGAGTGAACCTCCACCAGCACTCCTGCAGCCATCTCCAGGTACAGTTCGGGAATAGAGCAGCTCCCCCACAGTGGAATTGCGCAATCTGCTTTCAACCTGGTGTTGTGTCAACCTAGGATTAAAGATTGCACCTGGAACAAAGACAAGTGGGCCCCAAAACACAATACTACATGCATCTGAGCTGCATCTGGGTGAAAAATCACACAAACAAAGAAACAAAGCAGAGGAGAGGAGGGGAGGGGAGGGGAGGGGAGGGGAGGGGAGAGGAGAGGAGAGGGGAGGGGCGAGGAGAGGTGAGGAGAGGTAGCCAAGCCAACATGGCTTTTAGATATTTTGTACCTTGTTCTTCAGCTCGCTTCCCCAGTCATGTTTTCTTACATGTTGTTTGTTCAAAAACTGCCCGCAATCAAACCCGCAAAGGGGGTGGTAGAAATTATTTGGGGCCTCTACAAGAAAGTCTTGTTGCCTGGCCCCTCGTCAACCTCTCAATCAAAAGAAAGCTCCAGCAATACTAAATCAAATGGAAACTCAAATCGCCGAATACTAAACCAAATGGAAACTCAATTGAATTGGATCTCAAGATAAAGTTCTAGGTGCCCCCATTGTTAGCGGCATGGGGGGGGACAATACTAATCCCAGGTGGACACTATGAGTTTTAAGGGCATGGCCACTCTGAGCCATGACAAAAAATACTATACATGCATTCCCTTCGTTGAGGCTAGTAGTTTAAATCTCCGCCCCTCAGCCCCCCCCTTCCACAATGCCGACGGCATTTCTCCTGTAGCTCCGGCGCAGGATCTCTCGGACAGGCGCCAGACCATGTCGTCCAGGAACTTCCAGGTGGAGGTGCCTCGGAAGGAGAAGGCATGCTTCCCCGAGACTGGCAAGCGTCCCGCACACAAACCAATCTTTGCTGTCAGGCCACTACTGCAAAACACTTTCCTTGACAGGGGGTTGCACACGTTTGCAGTGATCTGATCCCAACAGGAGATGGGTGGCAGCGCCACCGATTACGTTGTGGTTGTCAAGCAGGCCAGCTGCTTGAACTTTATATGACCTGAGTGCGTCTTAAAATAAGGGACTTCAAAATGATGCTTGTTCCTTGCGTTTCCCGTTTGAACGGGGATTCTCGAGGAAAACCCACCCGCATTTCCCCCCCAAAACCTGCTCTGGGCCCCGGCCCGAAGCTCGGGCCCCTGCTGCAGCTGGCGCGGGCGTACCCGTCCACGGCGCCCAGCCAGGTGCAGTCCCTCAGGGCCGAGCCGTGACTCAGCCGAGTGCCACGAAAAACAAAGAGCACCCATTCTTGCATTCTTGTTGGTTGATATAAAGGGAGAGCCTTCTCAAAAAAAAACGCAAGGGTGCCAAACTGGGGGGGGTTGAACAAACAGACCCGTCCCCGAAACCAAAAGCAGCCGGTCAAAGCCCCGTTTGCCCGAGTGGTAAGCAGGTGGTTGGCGCAGCC